AAAATGGAAAGCTTTGGAAATCTACAAAAGTCCCTACAGTGAAGCAATGGTTCCAAAAAGTCTGGGATCTAATAGTTCAGGATAGAATTGCTAGCCAATTGTTACAAGCAGACAACCCACCAAAGGAATCAAACTTTGTTGAAAAATGGTTTGTATTCTTCCATTATACTGAAACAGAAAATAGTACAGTAAGTAAATTGCCAGCCAAATATATGGATTTTGCCTTTTATTAAAGTTAATGTTGATTAATAGATGGGGAAAACAAACTGTAACTGTTAAGTACTCTATTATGCTTGTGTTTTTGTTTTATGTTTTGGTTTGAATTATTTCAAATATGTGTATTATGATTGCTGGCTATGCGCTGTAATAATAAATTCATTCATTCATTTGTGTATTATGAAAAGGAAAATTTTTTCCAATAAATAAAGAGTTACAAAAAAAATAAATAAATGGAAAACTGGGAATTCAGGGAACTTGCTATACCTATTGTTAGAACAGTATATTGATATAATGATATTCTTGTGCCATTTTTTTAAATTGCAGAAACTCTTGTGGTCCCAGAAGGGGGCACTTCTTGGGGACTGGGGCAGGGAAACTGCGGGGAAATTGGCCATGTGGGAGCCCCCTTGCTGCTGCGTTTAATGTGAAGCCACACCACAAAATCCTGTCCTAGTGTGGAAGGACTACAAGCAAACCAGGGAGGCCAAAGACTTGCCCTGTTGTTGCCCCCTCCTTCTAGTGAAACGCTGGAAAAATTTCAGTGCAAGTAAAGAGAATTTCGATCAGGGACATTTGCCATCTGGGTGGAAGGGTTCTATTGATCTCCCATTCACGATGCTTGATTATGAATAGTCCCTTCTGCGCTTAATGGCTTCTTCATGCACTCAAAACATGTTATCACATACATTTGGCGATATGCACTTTTTAAATGAATTTAAAATGGTCTCCAAGGTACAATCTCTGCTGCCGAGACGAGGATTGTGGACTGCCTACCGCTGCCCCCTAGAGGCAAATCGCTGCAGAGAGACAACCGACTTCTGAAAAAGTGCACGGGGAAGGCATGCCGACTCTTCCAGAGTCGTTCCACTCAGGAAGCCACTGGCTGAATCTGGTCTGGCTTCAATTAATTCTGGGCCGGGCCAGGTTCTTTGCCTGTGCAATAGCCAAATCCCAGCCCTGGTTGACTTCCTAAGGGTTTGAATTTGCTTTTGACCACCCTTATCCTAAACCCTCCCCCTCCAATTCTCTCATCTTTGCCATTCCTAGGGCCCAGTCACACGGGAAGGGCAGTTGAAATCCTCAGAAAATTGCCCCATGTCAAATCTCTCTGCTGTGGATGCCGCTCATTCTCCCCAGTCCTCTTTTTCCTCTGCATTTGGCAACTGGAGGGGGTGAGACAGCGCCCCTTAGAGAGTGGGATTTGGCCAAAGAGCTGCTTCTTGCTGACCTCTATGATAGCAGGGAAAGACAAAAAATCAATGTGCCCACCATGGGCAACTGTGGCTCCACCATACCAGTTTCTCTGGAAATATATTGTCTGTTTCTGGACGTAGCATGACCCCTTGTTTCCAGAGTTGGGGCTTCATTACCACATGCAAAATTGGTCGCTACCAGGACCAGGGCCTTCTCGGTGGCGGCCCCTACCTGGTGGAATGAGCTCCCGGAGGAGATCCGGGACATGCGGGACCTGATGCAGTTCCGCAGGGCCTGCAAGACGGAGCTCTTCCACCAGGCCTTCAAGTAGGGGCCGCCGCGTCCCGCCCCCCCTTCCATCATGGGGGGTGGAAGAGGCCTTGGGAAGGAAGGAAACATCGGAAATACTGGAACTTTTTGAACATCTAAACACCTTACGTATCTGATTGAATAAACCATCGAATGATTTAGGGGAACCTCTGGACTGGACCGTCATCTTTTGGAGTTTTCGGATGTGAAGATCAACGAGCACTTTAAATTAACTTGTATTAGGATTGGTTTTTTTAACGTTTACTGCTTTTAACTTTGAGAACTATGTTTTATTGTTGCAAATATTTTTGCTTGTTAGCCGCCCTGAGCCCTACGGGGGAGGGCGGGGTATAAATCTGATTAATAAACAAATAAATAAATAACTAAATATGTTCCGGTGTGATCGCGCCCAGAAAATCCGCCTGACTATCGTGCCTCCCGCGGGGCAAATGCTCCATGTGAACAGGGCCCTATTTTAATTTGTACGGTCCTTGAGGAACAAGTCCTTTCCCTGAAAACCGCCTTGAAC